CAATAAGTCCTTTCCCATTGACACCGCACCTACTACTTAGAAGGATATTAAAATTGTTCCTGTGGCTAAATCATCAAGTGGTCCAAGTGTTAAGTATAGACTCATTGCCATAAATTTACCTTTTAAAAATACTGGAAAAACTGCTTTTACCTAACCTTGAACCTTTATTGAAAGCTTTTGGTGTCCCTAAACAATTTGCTTATAAACATATTAGGTGTACTTCAGATGTCACTGTTATTTTATATCACATTATCGTCTCTAACTTGGACAGAGATGCGAAATATGTCCGATGTGCCTTCCTGGATTACACATCTGCTTTTGACTCGTTACCTAAGTCTCTTTTGTTAAACAAACTCGCTGTGACAGAGGTAAAGCGCTGGATTAGTAAAAGGTTGTATTCCTATTTTTCTGATAGAAAGCAGTACACTGTTTACAATGGGACGTCCTCCACTGCTTCACTTACTCTAGCTGGTATCTTCCAATGAGCTGTTCTTTCTCCTTTTCTGTTTTCTTTCTTCTTATATGACTTGTGTCATTCTGACAAAGTCTGTTTCGTTAAGTAATGCGATGATCTGACCATTTCTATGCCTGTTACTTTTCAGTCAAACTGTTTCAAAATGAATAATTTTTGATCAGAAATTAGTCAGTGATCCTCATCAAATGATCTTAAGCTAAATTACTCCAAATGTCAGATTGTTAATTTCGCTTTCAGATTCAAGCATGACTTACATGAACTAGTTCGTCCGTATGACTCTACTACCATAGACGGCAAAGAAGTTGAGAATAAATCGAATGTTAGATACCTTGGGTTATGTGTTTCCTCTAATCCTTCCTGGTCTTTCCACGTCATTTTAGTTTCTAGAAAGATGTTTTGGTTGACGTTCCATTTAAGGAGGTTAAGACAGTCTGGTAATAGTCAGTCTCTATTTTTGCAGTTTGTTAATCCATATATTCTACCCATTCTTGCTTATTACTTCCTCGCTCCTAATCTTTCCCGGGCTAATTACCATAGATTTTGTTACACTGTCGAGGGCACCATAGGCTGTCACTAGGGCTAGTAAGGTGTCTGTAAAACAACTCGTAGTACTGTAGGCAGATAGACACGTGGACTCATGCAAGAAATTAACGAATATTGTCCTTTCGGACTCTGAGCATCCTCTCTATACACAACTCTCCCCTTGCATCTCTTCAGCAGGAACTATGCGCAACTATAGAAGACTGTGTGCTTGGACGACTAAGTATAAAATCTCTACAATATCTAATCTGGCACATATTTCATAAGATGAGAAAAGTGTAAGGCAGGAAATTATCAAATTACTTCGGAACTCTAAGTGGAAGGCCCCATTTATTTTCTCTTATCGCAATTCTATATTTATATTTATATTGAACAGTATTACCAGTATAAGTGCCCTATTTTAATTATTACCCCTGTAATGAGAATATTAGATGCAATATTCTGCTACATGGTGAAAATTCTACATCTATACCAAAAATACTGTTTGGTTTAAAGCTGTTATTGTTATATTATTATTATCTGTCTGGTATTTCCAATTTTCTCTGGCTTTTGCGTTCTCATCTGTGTCACTGGTTATTGAAACTATGCCTCCTAGGCAGATAAAAAGTAAGGAAGTGACCTCTTCCGAATTTCTTCCCTTGATAGAGAGTGATGGTTCTTCTTGTTTTCGGTCATCTTCATCACCTCCATCTTCTCCATGTTCATCAGCTGAAGTCTTGTTCTTCCTACTTCTTCTGACAGTTTGTTGGTTTTGCACTAGTTAATCTTTAAGTTTCTTATTTTTGTTTTGATTATAGCTTGTTTTCACACCGTAATTTTGGTATAAGTATGGAATTTCCAGAATGTCATGTCGGTAGCTCAAAGTTTGCAGGCCGACCATAGATATCAGGTGTGCGTTGGCAGGGGATCAGACCCCTGACCATGTGCATGGACGGTGAGTGTCCCAACGGCTGTGCCACCAACGCATATTAAACTCTTGTCTTTGCTTCAACGACTCTGATATAAGAATAAAACTTCGGCACTGAGGTAGAGCATAACTCCATTATGGATAAGATTTTATTTTGATAAATCACACAGTGTTGTACAGTAAAACTAACTGATAACGTTTCGAGCACAAAATATCGCCGCTCATAATCAAGGGACTTCAGCGACTCTGCTGAGTTTCCCTATGTGAATCCTTTGACATATGGCGATATCACATAGCTGTTAAATAATGGTAATAATAGTGATTGGCTTTATCCCCCGTCCCAAATAACAGATCTTGTGATGCATCTAATCTACAAGACAACAGTAGAAACATAAACGACAAATAGTATTATTATAGGGTATACGTAACTAAAATTGATAATTGCAACTTTTTGGTATTAGCAGTGACAGTAAAGACGAAAATGTGTATAAAAAGTGTAAAATATTGATATTGAGGTTATGGTGGTGTGATACAGACAATGTATTCCAACGGAATAATATTCTGACGTATTCCCACGTTTCAGTACAGCTGTGGTGATATCAGGCCGTGAGAAAATATGTACAGGGTTGATTCAACAACCAATCACAGCAGGCTTAACGTGGCAAAATATGATTCGCAGATAGCGAACTCTATTTTTCGAGGAATCCCGAAACAACCAATAAGAAGCCTGCGTTTGTCTGCTTAACTTCTGATAAACAACCAATCAGAAGACTGCGCTTGTCTACTTGCACAATCTATAATAATGTATAGGAAATATATATATATATATATATATATATATATATATATACGTGTTGATTTTCGTAATAAAACGATCTGTTGCCTGGCTCTTGTCTTGTATTGTTACACAGCTAAATGATTGGTCGGGGAATATAAAACTGTATCCATATAAATAGCGCTTTGATAACTTAAAATATATACCTTGGCTTCCTTGACTTGCCTTTTATTGTTACATTTGGTGTCACCGCCTGCCGACAAATAGAAAACCTATGTCGTGTAGATTTTGAAGAAGGAGATATATGGATCTTTGGCAGGAATTCAAGGGTGTAGCACAGTCGAGCGGCGTTCAAGATTCGTCAGCGATGAGGCTGTCAGTTGGAAGGCTGCTGGAAGGCCGGGTGACGGAAGCATATGATAGTGTGAGACGAAACACCGGCAAACATGAGCCAGGGTCATACAAACTGCTTGCAAAGTGGGAAGGATCATACACAGTCAACGTGAGACGGGATCACGTATATAAGATCAGAAATGCAAACAAATGGGAGCGGGAAAACGTCAGCGAGGTCTGGAGCTCGATACAGCAAGACAAACTAACAATGCCACCTGCACGAAGGCAATTGAACCGACTTCAGCCGGAAGTTTTTGACGGAGGGACGAGTGTGGTGGCGTGATACGGACAGTACTTGCCAACGGAATGTTGTTCTCACATATTCCAACAGTTCAATTTGGCATTAGCAACAGAATGTTGATATATCTATTTGAACATTCTATTTTGCGACGTTTAATATAAGCCAAAATCACACGCTCAGTGATTGATTAGAGAATATAAAACTGTATCTATATAAATAGCGCTTTGATAACTTGAAAGTATATCTTGGCTTCTTTGTCATACCTTTTACTGTTACAAGGTTAATAACTAAAATCATAAGATAATGGAAATACTGTTACAAATTGAAGAAGATTAAAGAGAAGAGCTGATTACCTAGTAATTTGTAGGTTTCACTCGTAACACTATATCTGCCACATAGAACGCTGGTCAAATAGGGTATCTTTGAGTTTTGTATACTTGATTCTACGAGCATATAATCTTTCGTAATGACTTCTAGTCATTTTGATATATGTGTAAAACTTGGGCACTGTGGTAGTAAGTAATTCCGTATCAGTATGTTTATTAGATATATCACACAGTGAGTGAAACAGTATTGTTGTTTACTGGATGACACAGTTTCGAACACAATCTACTATTGTTCATAATCATATCAATTGTGATCACACGAATTCGAAACTTGAGTTTTATAGTTTTCTTTATTCTTTTCCTATTCGTCGTCTTAGGGGTGTAGTATTCTACGGATGTCTGGGTGGACAGGTGTTGAATCATTCCTATTACACTTATTTGCAGTTGATTCGATAAACAAAACTTCTGTTATCAGTCTCCACCCTGTGACATTGGATTTTAAAACTGTCACCTTATCCCATCTTGTTGTATGGTTGTGTGTAACCGCATGTAGTGCTAAAGCTGAACTATTCTCTAGATTTCTTATCTTATTTGGGTCAACCAATCTAGATTTTGCTAGGTTTTATGTTCGGCTAGTCTGACTGCCCCTGTTCTACTAGTTTGACCTATGTATTTGACCTGACAATCATTCCAGTAGGGTATTAGATAAACTAAATTGTTTTGTTTTAAAGGCTCCACAGGATCCTTTAATTGACAAAGCATATTTCTAATTGAGTTTGTGGGTTTGAATGCCACTTTTATTCCTGCCTTCCTTCTAGTTATTAAGAAATTGACAATTAATTATCCAAATTGGTTACAGGATTTCATCATGAGCTGACATTGGTTAGAGAACCATTAGAAAACCTGGGAGTACTGGACAGCTGTTTCGTCCTAGTTTGTTACTCTTCATCAGTACGCACCCACCGACAGGGTTTGAACCCAGGACCTTCTGGTTACAAGGCAAGCTCGTGTACCATTAAGCCACTGAGGCACGATCCAGTGGCCCATGAATTCTAACTTCTGCCAATTCACGACATAGCGCAACCGCCACGAATGTCTTCGGCGAGTATTTGTCCTCATACACGACCTGCTACACCCTACTGGTCATGATTTCCCACTGGAACCCCTGGTAGGGAAGTCACTAGTGAGAATCTCACAGACATTTAAGTGTTGATTTGTAGGGATTTGGTAGATTGGTTATCCAAATTGTCAGTGATGAATTCATATGAACATTTTTTTCAATTATATCCTAATTTAGTTGAATCATTATACAGAATAATTAAAACAAACTTTATCTGCTTAACAGAATGAACCTTGCGCAGAATGTCAGCCACTTCAAGAAACTCCCTTTTCCATTCCATGCTATTCATAAGATGATTAAAAGAGGCATGTCAAAACAGCATTTCACATATCATCCGTGTGAGGCGCCAGCGAATAGTGGTGAAACAAAATCAATGAATCTATTTCAATCCGTCGGTAATGCTATTGAGCTAACACTAACTAATAAACCAAATTCTGTACTATTCGGTGAAGATGTTGGTTTCGGTGGAGTATTTCGATGTTCACTTGGACTTCAAGAAAAGTTTGGTTAGTTTAAAAAAATAAATTGAATGATAAATGAGACATATTTATCATTTTTTTTTCAAAAAAATATTCATTCTATGTCTTATTATTAGGCAATTCTCGTGTATTCAATACGCCGTTAAGTGAACAAGCACTCATCGGTTTCGGTATAGGCTTAGCAGCTATGGGAACAACAGCGATAGCAGAAATACAATTTGCTGATTATATTTATCCAGCTTTTGATCAAATTTGTAATGAAGCAGCGAAATTTCGTTATCGTTCGGGTAATATGTTTAATTGTGGAGCACTGACAATAAGAACACCATGCGGTGCTGTTGGACACGGTGGTTTGTATCATTCACAAAGTCCGGAGGGGTTTTTCGGTCATATTACAGGTATAAAGGTGAGGTAATGTTATTTATTAGTAATGAACTTGTGCAGACTAACATTTTTATGACGTTTCATCTTAAAGTACTCAAACGATTGTGTTTCACAGTATTACAAGTTGATGAGATTGTAAATTTTGCGTTGACTGATGTGTCTAGGACATGTGGAACCCATTATGATCCATTGCTCCCCTCAGCAAACTATGTTAGCTGACATAGGATTAGTGATGTGTGGGTCGATATCTTGTCCAGAAAATGAACCAATCAGAGTTATCTTATAAGTAGACAGACATATAACTAATGTATTGATCCTTTATAACGCCTAAGTCGTTGGCCTGTATATTTTTCATTATATTAATATACTTTTCCGACTCATCTTGTTGTGTTTTCGATCGAAAAAAGGTTGGGAAATCAAATAGCCGGTGTATAACGTTTGCAGTTGAGAAGCGATACTTGCTATCATGCAGTCTTTTACTAGCTTCCGTTCCCATAGCAATTCAACTGAACGCTATGAAGTATAAGAGGGGCAACAGGGATGTTGAATTCTTCGCATATGGAAAAAATTTTTGATCAAGAAATGAAGGTCATCGAATTGCTCACATACTCCGAAATTCCCGAATCTAAGTCATCGCACGCTCCTCTAGCTTTACGAGCTCCTTCAGCTGATGCATTAGCCAGCAGTATCAATGAATACCACAGTAACACCCTGATGCCAAGGTGATAGTGTCTATACTTGATCCAAGTGCGATGAAGATCACTTCAAAGTGGATTTTTCCTGCGAAGATGATTCATAGAAAGTATCGATTCTTCTTCGAAAGCTGGGTCCCTCAGACATCGATAGGTATCACAACATTTGGAAATGTAAAAATTTGACTGGTAAAGAATTAGGAGTGTTCAAGTTAAACCACAACATGAATCCATATAGTTTCTGACTGTTCATTTTAGTCACACAAGGACGTGTAGACTGTCTGTTTGGAGTCCTCGATGCATAAAGTACAACTGCCTTGAGATTGTTGGTGGCATGGTCAAAAATAGTTGCATTCTCACTTCTTAAATCTATCGAATCTTCATTATTCTTTATACAGTTATTCTGTTTCACGCAAATTTTCCTTTAATAAAGTTTCTTTACATTTCTTATATTCTACTTTATTCTGTACTTAAGGAACTGATAAACTTTTGTGCGCGCGTCACTAGCACAATGGTAGAATGCTCACCAACCAGGCAGGTGATCTGGGGTTCGATCCCCTACCGACGACGCACTCATTTACCTCGCTAAGTCAGTAATAAGACTGGCAAAGAGGAAAAGTTGGACATGAGACTAGTAGACCCATCCCGTAGAAGGCAACACCACTGCTACTGAAACTTCAAAGCTCTAGCTTGAAGCCAATCTATGTTCCTCTGGGAATGCAAGGTAATACAAATTTAAAAAATTTTAATGCAGAATTCTATCAGATATCGTTTAGGCAAGATAGGCAAAGTAATTAGTGGTAGTGCAAATATCAACAGAAGACATCCAATTATATGGGTATATATATATATATATATATATATATATGTCTTCTAGACTGATTATAATTTGAACACATTACTGCAGACTAAAGGAAATTGAAAATTGTCAAGTTCAGTTTTGCAGCTGTTGTCCAATGAAGGCGATGATTTAGAGCCTGTTAACTTCCTTGATATTTCAATACTGTGAGATGAACAGTCAATTAAGTTAATAATGCAGTGAAAAAAGCTTAAACAGAATGAAGTGAATTCATTATATTTCATAGTGGCTTTCATAAACTGCATACAACGTGAATAATTACATAAATGATTACTTTGATGAATATGGTAGTTGTTTATTGTCATCTTGTCCAACTGTCATTTCGTTTGATGATTGTTTCTTCCATGTCATTGTACAACCACTTGTACTCTAGTATTATAATGTCATTATTATCATTATTATTAATATTTCCTTGGGTTCCGAGTGGAACATAAGGTTTCAACAACACATCTCCAACTTCATCCTGTTTTCTTCAGTCCTCTACGAATGCCCCTAAATTTTCATCTCCTACTCAGTCGATCTTCTGTATGACACCTTCGGACGCCCGACTCACTGTTCACCAATAGGGTTCCACTATAGGACATGGCGCATGAAATCACTCGGCAGTCTGTCGTCACTTTCTTTTGCGAGTTTATACATACGGGTGATGTAAGATTTGACAGAAAGTGAGTTCTTACTCTAGAGAGCATGTATAATTGAAATTTATCAAAAAGAGGAAGACATTATAATTGTTAAACTCATTGTGGTGTTATCCTTTCTATACAGTTTGTTAATTCATCGAAAATTCACATAGTAACACATGGAAAATCAAAAGAAGTGAATCAGCGAAGAGATTCTTTTCAACGAATTTATCATCAAGCTGTAAAATCGTTTATACACATGGTTTTTAAGAAGTTATATCCGGTGAGGGAATTGAATCATAGGTTTGAATGTATAAAATAATAATAATAATAGAAGTATGAAATGCAATTAAAAACTAAAATGTTTGTGATTATAATCATAGTTAAATGTCAAGTGGTAAAATAATTAATGTCATATATAGAAACTGGCGCAGAATTATACTCCTGTCCATTCCAAGCAAAATACTAAGCTGCATCATCCTGGAGAGAATCAAACAAGCCCTAGATGAAAAACTTCGACCGGAACAAGCTGGATTCAGGAGAAACAAGTCACGTATTGATCAAATCGCCACTCTACGGATCATCATTGAACAAAGCTTGGAATGGAAGTCACCTCTCTGTCTCTACTTCATCGACTTCGAAAAGGCCTTCAACAGCGTCGATCGAGAGGTCATTTGGCAACTACTTCGCTACTACGGGGTCCCATCAACAATTATACATCTCATCCAACAGTTATACGACAATGCTACATGCCAATTAATCCACATCGGGAAACTTACGGAAGCCTTCGAAGTGAGGACGGGAGTGAGGCAAGGCTGTCTACTATCACCAATGATCTTCCTGATTGCAATTGATTGGATAATGCGACAGACAACGGCAACCAACGAGGGAACAGGCATAAAATGGACTGACACAAAAGACTTGGAGGATCTGGATTCCGCCGATGATATATGTCTGATTTCCCACAAACTGGAAGATATTCAAGTGAAAAACAACAAGCTGGCAGAAGAAACATCCAGTGAGGATAGGACTTCAGGCGAACATAGATAAAACAGAGGTGATGAAGATTCCTGGCCAACACCAACAGCAACACCAGCAACAACAGACAACAATCAGCATAAATGGGAGGAACCTGAAAGAAACAACCTCCTATACCTACTGACCTGGAAGCATCGTTTCAACTTCAGGTGGAACTGATGAGGATATCAAAGCCAGAATCGGAAAAGCAAGACAAGCTTTCATTACTATCAAGTCTGTGTGGAGGTCAGCAGCACTCAGCATGAAAATGAAAATAAGATCCGGATTTTCAGCTCCAATGTGAAGTTAGTCATTGCTACTATACGGATCAGAGACTTGGCGCGTCATAAAGAGCATCTCAAACAAACTGCAGACCTTCATTAACAATTGTCTTCGCTCAATACTACTCAAGATCAGATAGTCCGAAAAGATCAGCAACAGGGATCTCTGGCAATGAGCGAACCAACACAGCAGGAACCGATTGTGAAACAAATAATCAGGAATAAATGGAAATGGATTGGTCATACGCTGAGGAAACAAACCATCAAGTGACATTACTAGACAAGCCATCGCTCGAGTGGAACCCGAAAGGGAAGCGGCGAGTTGGTCGTCAGTGTGAGGGTGACTTGAAGGAGGTCATGTGAAGAGGAGATGAAAGCATGTGGGCAGACTTGAAGCGGGGTGAAAAAGCTGGAAGAAAACCGAACGCAATGGAGACGCGCGACCGAAGCCCTATGTTCCTCTAGGAATCAAAGGATATAATAATAATAATAGAATAATTCAGAGGATGTATAGAACTTGGAAGGGGTGTACAATTATAGGACCAGTAGGCAAATAGAATAAGTATAAAAAAGTAACGTAACATAGTGTGATTTTTGATAACATCAAATGTAATGTTGCAACGCAGAAGTGATTTAGAATGACAAGTGGAACAAGTGAAATAATACCGACGACAGTTCAAAGTGTGTATAGTAATAGTAATAATTGATTTAATGAAGGAAGAGTATACAAACTGAATTTTCTTTCCTTCATGTTCCCCAGTGGAACATAGGTCCTCAAGCTGGTGGCTTGAAGTTTCTGTAGTAGTGTTTAATTTTACAGGATGGGGTTGCTAGGCTCATGCCCAACCTTTTTTTTTTTTGATTTACAGCTTGATTCCACACTGTATTTTTGGTACAAGTATGGAATTTTCAGCATGGATATCGGTAGCCCAAATTTTGCAGGCCGACCATAGATATCAGGTGTGCGTCGGTGCGGGCTCGAACCCCCGGACCATGTGCATGGTCGGCGAGCGTCCTAACCGCTGTGCCACCGACGCACAAAACAAATTGAATAAACAAAACGAAAAAGGTTAGTAGAGCCAAAATATGATTATAGATAACCATACTTTAGCACAAATAGATTAAGGCTGTGATAGTTTGAGGGGTTGAACGAACTTTATACGATTGTACAGATTGATAATAAATTCTTTGAAAAGAGTTTCTTCGCTGAATCACTTGTATTAATCTTCGGTACAATTTGTGTTATGAATAGACTAGTATCTGCCATTAAGAAATGTCCAAAAAAGTGCTTGTGCAGACTGACTTAGAGTTTCATCCGACACACACATCACATTTTTGAAGTCGCAATAAAATCTTTCACATCAATTGTTGTTCTAATTATGGATCATAATCAGCTGCAAAGTTACTCGAAGCAAAAAAATCACTTGACAATTGTTGTTGTGTTCTAGTTTCATATGCATCTGCGACATCATTGCTCTCTGTGGTCCATCACACTGGATATGGACAACGGTTACTTGTGGAAGATGTTGCGGAAATTGAAAAACATGATTCAGAAGTTACAGGATTTCATTATGAGGTGACAAAGGTTAGAGAGCCTTTGAAAAACCTACAAGGAGTACTGGACAGCTGTTTCATCAGCCTAGTTTGGGACTCTTCATCAGTACGCACCCACTAGCAAGGCTCAAACCCAGGACATTCTGTTTACAAGGCGAGTCAGCTCATAGACGATTTAGCCACTTGGCCACTCAATCCAATGGCCAGACCATGAAATTTAACTTCTGCCAAATCACGATATAGCGCGACCGCTAGACAATTTCTTCGGAAAGTATTTGTCCTCACACTCGAACTGTTACACCCAACTGGTTACGATTTCTTAATACTTGAATATGATTCAGAAGTATTACGTGACTAAACAGTCATCAGGAAACCTTATGTTCGCAAAATCCTTCCATATGATATATCATATTCGCATACTTTTGAGGAATCGACAGCTTTCTCCTTTCTTGTTCTTTTTCAGTGTTTCTGTTACGGGCCTAAGGTCTGAAGTTAGTCACTGTTTCTAAATCCTTCAAAGTAACTAAACCATCATGTCTCGGAACAAATAAACGATACTAAAGCACTAACATTCCGAAAGAAACGATGTTAACAATGCCTAGGAGTTATGTTATATAACTTTTATATTTATATATATGTGCATATATATTTATTTACTTATTTTACAAGGTTGTATTTCCCCGTGGTCCTGTTCAAGCGAAGGGTTTGCTATTATCATGCATAGAAGAAGAAGATCCGTGTGTATTTTTTGAACCAAAAATATTATACCGTTCTGCAGTTGAAGAAGTTCCAACTGGTCATTTTCTAATACCTTTGGAGACTGCTGAAGTAGTTAGAGAAGGTAAACAATTTTCTTTGGAAACAAAAGACACTTCGATGCGGAGAATTTCTTTCTTGTATCGACGAAATCACCTTCAAAGGCGGTATGATCGTATTTATATATATATATGCCAAAAACACGTGTAGTAGTTCATTATTGAGTGACACAGTTGGTAACAGTATAGCTGAGATTCTGAAGGACAGCTAATCGAGATCCCTGAGAAAAGTCTTCTTCCCGACTGAGCTATGGATTAATTTCTACAGTGGATGTGTAAAAGATGAACTGACGCTTTACGCCACTTCAATATGTGTGTTCATAAATCCACTTGTTCCTGTGGAGTTATTGGCCACACAAAGCGCACACTTTCCAGACGCATCTCTGAAAATTATCCGGAATGGTTAGCAAGAGGAGAATTCAGGACAATTGTTAGCTCAATTCTTGAGCATTAAGTGAACTCAAGCCACGCAGGTCGACCATAGACATCTTTTAAGATTATCTACAAGGTGAGATAGAAAGGTAAATACGGTGTTAGATTTCAGCATTTGTGTATATAGCAGAAGCACTGGTGATTCGTCAATACAACCTTGAACTTTGTATACAGGAAAAGTTTGTTCAGTCTCTTATTCTACCATGGCTTTAACCTCTTCATTAATCGTTCCCTGTAATTTTCTAATAATTAGTTTGCCTCTATTTCTATTAAATTAATTCATTATTATCACTCTCACAATATTCCTTTTGTATATTTTCTGATTCTTCCCACACTTGATAAGTGGACACTCAACTATCTTCCTCTTTCTTAGTAATAATTTTAAACTCATTAGACTTCTGACCCTTTCTTTCTTTGTGCAGTCAAGTGTTATGTAACTTTTGGTCTTTAAACCATTTCTGAATAACTATATCAATCATGTCACTGAATAATGGACTACTACTGCGTTTTCGATAATAAGATGATTTCGTCGATCAAGACAATTTCCTTTCCTGAATGTGTCTTTTATTTTCTTCATGATTCAATTGGGTATTTTCAAAATTTTATTTAGAGCGAACTTCCCATTTTACTTTATATAATCAATATTCATTCTGTAGTAAGTTATGCTATTAATAACAGTTTTATTCCACAAAATGTTTTAAACCATAGTCCAGAATTATCAACGTTTTCAATCGTGAAGTATTTCCTTTTAGTATAGGATGTTGTTCATGTGAAATATTAACTGATAGTATATCATGTGTTTTTTCATTTGAGGTAACATCTAATCCTCTACTGCATTTCCCCCTGCAGATCTGTCGACAGTTGCGCAGCACAGCACATTGCAAGCTAATTAAAAGTGTGTGAAACTTCATAAAGATATCCAAACATACAGTTTGACGATTGAAACAATAATAATTAGATAAGAGTCTATGCGATTATATTGGATGGAAATTTAAATAACCCAATGATTTAAGCAGGTTGTCATTTTATGTACTATCCAAAATGTTATCCAGAAAACTGCTCGAACTGACTGGCAGTACACATTCAAAAAAATACCAGATTAATTTCATAACCTTCAGATCCTGTAGATAAAATGCACTAGGTTTTTGCCTGGTTTGAAATCTGTTACGATCACTATTCGAATAGCCCTTAGACCTGCTTACAATTTACAAACTAGTCAGTGATTTTCACATATTGGTTTTGTAGGGATTTTGTTTTATTGCTCGAGGGATTTCATCAGGCGCTGACATAAGTTACAGAACAATTGGAAAACAACTTGAAAGTACTGAACAGATGTTTCTTCAGCCTAGTTTGGGACTCTTCATTAGTACGCGCTCACCGGGGTTTCGAACTCCGGACCCACTAGTTATAAGGGGAGCTTGTTGACCATTAAGTCACTGGAAGCCTATGCAATGGCCCATGAATTCTAACTTTTGATGAAGGGTCCCAAACTAGGACGAAGCAGCTTTCCGGTACATACTGCAGGTTTTCCAATGGTTCTCTACCGGGTGTCAGCCCATGATGAGATCCCCCAACCTATTAAACAAAATCCCTACAAAACCAATACTTGAAAATTAATTTGTTGCCCACTAGCGACTATCCCTATACAGGCAGTGACCTAGGGTTCTAGTGAGAAGCCGTGACCAGTAGGATGCAGCAGGTTGAAGGTGAGGAGAGTTACTTATCGAAGAAGACGTTGTGAAGTGGTAGCGCTATGTCGTGAATCGGCAGAAGTTAGAACTTACGGACTTGCTATTGGATCGGGACCCAGTGGCTTAATGGTCTGCGAGCTAGACCGCCTTGTAACCAGAATGTCCTGGGTTGAAATCCTGGAGGTAGGGGCGTACTGATGAGGAGTCTCCAACTAAGGTGAAGGGAAAAGCTGTCCACAACTCTCTAGTGAATTTTCTAATGGTTCTCTAACCGCTGTCAACTCATAATGAAATCCTCCAACTAGTCAACGATCTGGAATGGATACAGTTCCAGAGGTGTTTAGATCACCTCGATCTGGTTGATTAGCCAGTACTAGTGGTTGGTGTGAGTGGTATACAAGTACTACTCATCTCAATTAGTCAGTAGTATATAGTTTGATGCAAATAAATTGACCTGACAAGTGACATTCCTTTATTCAGAATTTCATAATACCCATTTCAAAGGCTATTGACTGGAGATGATATTGCATATCTTAGAATTCAATATATATATATATGTAACAACAGAAGACAAGGGCCAGGCAACAGATCGTTTTATTATGAAAACCAACACGTATTTATATATATTTCACATACATTATTATAGCTTATGCAAGTAGACAAGCGCAGTCATCTGATTGGTTGTTTATCAGAAGTTAAGCAGACAAACGCAGGCTTCTGATTGGTTGTTTCGGGATTCCTCGAGAAATAGAGTTCTCTATCTGCGAATCATATTTTGCCACGTTAAGTCTGCTGTGATTGGTTGTCGAATCAGCCTTGTACATATTTTCTCACGGCCTGCTCTCACCAATATATATATATATATATATATATATATCACGAATTATTCTTTCTTTTAGGAAAAGATGTCACATTCATAGCTTGGGGTACACAAGTACACGTAGCATTAGATGTAGCCAATGAAGCAGCAGAGCAATTGAATATATCCTGTGAAGTTATCGATCTTAGAACAATTATCCCATGGGATGAAGAGACAGTTTATCAAGTAAGCTAAAATCAAAACCTTAATTGTTTATTCCATCTATTAAAAAATACTTGTTCACATGTAGTTCACTAAGTTATATATGCCCAAACCAAGTTCACTTTTAACAGTTTGAAAAAAATTGGGCATCTGGGTATAATGTGATATTCATTATTATAAAAGTGTTTTTGTATTTCACACTGAGTGAAAAACAAAACGATATTGTTTGATTGACTGACGTCTCACTATTTAATGCTGCTAATAGCTTTATCAAAGTAGTATTATTAGACCAGAATTTACAAAATCCACTCAGCTTATATGTAGCTTATTATTACCAATGATATTCCTAATTGTGGTGGACTGGATTATGCGTCAGACAGTGGGAAACGAGAAGACAGGGGTATCCTGGACCGGCGTGAAGAACCTAAAAGACCTGAATTTCGCGCGTGGATGATTTATGGGACCTTGGTGGCCTGTTTGAACATTTTAGGGTACCCCATTCCATGTACATTTTGCATCTATTTACTCATATTTTATTGGTGTTTACATATCATATTATGCATTCTAATCGTATTATTCACTCCCGGGATTTTATAAAACGTTTTAAACCCAAAAACTTTCATATTTGCAATAAACTCAAGAAAAAGCACCATGGAGGTTGGCAGCGTGCCTTAAAATCTACACCCATACATCACACCACTGTTCCAGTTATCATTAGTACCAACTGCCGGTCCCTGCCTAATAAAATTCTGGATTTTCAGTCCCTGTTGTCGTCCCATTTACCACAATACTGGTATTGTCACTCTACAAGAAACCTGGCTCCATGACTCATACGATGACAATATTGTGTCTCTAAACAATTTCAATGTTTTTCGACAAGACCGTGTTTGTTCCAAGAAAAAATGTGGTGGAGGTGTTGCAACTTTTATTCACTCAAAATGGTCCATTTCTAACAAAGTTTGTTTCAAATTCTCGAATGACTTCATTGATTGCATCACTGTGAGATGTCGCCCGAAACACCTGTCAAAATACAAATTCATTTATATTTCTAATGTTTATGTCTCTCCTGGCTGTACCATATTGGATTTATCTATGTTCGCCGATGAATTCACCGCTTTTGCTGCAGCTTGCTTCGAGAACTCTTTATCAATAGTAACTGGCGACTTCAATGGAAGCGATTGCTCCTTCCTTATATCACTTGGTCATGACAATATTGTTAACTTTGCCACCCGTCTTGGTAAAAAACTGGACCTAGTATTTATCAATGATGTTGGTATATATGAAGCTCGCAAACGTGCTCCTTTACTTAATTCTGACCACTGCATCATACGTGTACTGCCTAAAATATATTCCAAATCACACAAAGGTGTCCTCTCTCACCTCTACAGTAAAGTTCAACGGAGATGCTACTCAAAAGACAACCTAGACAAGCTCAGATGCATGTTGAAAGACACTAACTGGGACTTATTTACAGAACAAACATTAGATGAAACAATCACAAACACTACCGATTATCTTAAATTCTGTTTCGAAATATGTTGTCCTAAAGAAACATTATTCATTCGATTTGATCGCTTATCTTCGCCATATCTCAAAAAGCTACGTAGAAATAAAGAACTGTTGTTCAAAACTAATGATAAGCCTGGTGTAAAAAAGTTAAACATTCTGATAAAACTGGAAATGAAAAGACTAAATGTTTTATATAATCAAAGATTTTTGTCATGTAAAACCCCTTCTAATTTATGGAAACTTTTCAAAGAAATTACTAACGGTAAGCGATGTATTTCTGTTCCATCTCTTAATGTTGACACTCTTAATAAATCTTTCATACGCTCTTCTGTTGATACCCTTCCAAATGATACAAATCATATTGACAATAACTTTAGTGGTTTTAATACCCTTGATGTGCTTAAATGTCTCCGGTCTCTTAAGCCTTCTCAAAGCCTTGGTCCTGACGGCATACCTGCCATTGTCCTCAGGAATTGTGCTGATATTTTGTGTTATCCTCTTACTAACATTTTTAATGCTTCTTTTTCCGGTAACGTTCTACCTTTTGCATGGAAAAACATTAAAATTATCCCTATACCAAAACCATCTTCTGGTTCTGATATTAAATTTCGGCCTATTGCAATTACTTCCCCCTTTTTAAAATTGATGGAAAAATTACTTTTACTTCGTCTTGAACCCGCTTTGAAACCTTTTAATGATCCTAAACAATTTGCATACAAACATGGTAGAAGTACCTTGGATGCTGCGGTTGTCTTATATCACAATGTTGTCTCTTGTTTAGACAAAGGTGCTAAATATGTTCGTAGTGCTTTCTTAGACTACACATCTGCTTTTGACTCTGTACCTAGGGGCCTTTTATTAAATAAGCTATCGTTGACACAAACAGGATCCTGGGCTAAGAGTTGGTTGCATTCCTATTTTTCTGATAGAATGCAGTATACTGTATATAACGGCAAATCTTCTTCTACCTCGCTTACAAAATCCGGTGTTCCACAAGGTGCTGTCCTCTCTCCTTTTCTTTTTTCTTTCTTCCTACATGACCTGCCTCATTCAAACGAAACTAACTTTGTCAAATATGCAGATGATCTGACTGTATCACTGCCTATCACTTCCGAGTCTGACAGCTCCAAACTTAATAGCTTTCTGTTGGACATCAACAACTGGTCCAAGTCAAATGGTCTTATATTAAATCCTTCCAAATGTCAGGCTTGACTTTACTTTCAAGCATCGACGTGACTTACTTGAACTAGTTAACTCGCATGATCCCTGTAGCATAGATGGCACGGAAATTGAAACCAAATCAAGCATTAAATACCTTGGATTAGTTTTTTCCTCTGACCTTTCATGGTCATCCCATATCTTATCTATCTCTAAGAAAATGTTTCGTCTTACCTTCTACATTAAAAAGTTAAGACAATCAGGTATCAACCAACCTTTAGTTTTGCAATTTTTAAACTCCTGTATTTTACCTATTGTACTCCATTGCTCTCCATTAATCTTTCCTGGGCTTCTCAAAAAAGATTATATCATATTACGAAGAGTATTAAATGCTGTGAGTAGAGCTTGTGGTCTGCCACTGCATGAGCTCGCTAATACTATAGTCGAGAGGCATATAAATTCCTGTACGAAATGGGCAAAGGCTATAATGTCAGACCCTCTGCACCCCCTTTATTCACACCTGTCCCCTTGTATCTCATCAGGTAGGACGAGAAGTCAATATAAAAAGTTATATGCTCGTACCACTAAGTATAGAAATTCTACAATACCCTATTTAGCGCGTACTTTATGTGACGAAGACTCTGTTAGACGTGAAACTTACAAGTTACTATGTAATTAGCACAGTGAATCGACCCTTTTATCGTTCATCTTTCTGTATTTTATGGTGTCACACTTTCTATCGTTTAATTATTACTCTGCTATTTTATTTTAGTTGGTATTACTATTATTACTACAATTTTGTACTTTATGCATATTTTTCTCCGTATGGCATACAGTATTTTGCTATGTAGCTGCTATAACAATCGTTTTATTACTATTATGTAATGTGTATTTTTAATTTTTTTTGTCGTTTTTGAGTAAATTAGATGCAATATTGTACTGAATGCTGAAAATTCTTTGCTGTATCATTAGTACTGCTTTTGGAATAAAGCAAAAAATTATTATTATTATTATGTTTGATGTCACACAAAATCGAAGACTTACAAGCGAAAACCGACCGACAAACTGATCGAAGAAGCAGCCAGCGAAGACAGGACTCCAGGTGAACATAGACAAGACGGAGGTTATGAAAATAACCAACCAACAACAACAACATCCAGCGCCAATCACCATCAACGGGAGGGATTTGAAAGAGGCCACTTCATTCACTTACCTAGCATTGAGCATTGTCTCAACTACTCGCAGTTGGAATGGATGAGGATATCAAATGGAGAATCACCGGGAAGGCGAGAAACACATTCATCAACCTGAAATCAACCTGGAAATCTTCGTTACTCAGCCAGCATCGACAACAAAATTCGGTCGGATTTTCAATACAAACGTCAAGTCAGTCAGCTCTTCTACACAGATCAGAAACTTGGCGGGTGGGTCACAAAGAGTATTTCTAACAGCCTGTTGCAGACCTTTACCAACCAATTACTGTCTTCGCTCTATACTGAAGATAAGATGGCCGGGTCCGAAAGAATCACCGACAACAAGAAACTATAGGGACGAACGAAACAAGAACCAACCAATCGCCCAACAAATATGCAGGAGAAAGTGGAGATGGATTGGACACTCGTGGCTGAGGAGGCCACTGGGTGACATCGTGCGAGCGTCAGGCCATTCTTCGAGTGGAACCCGAAAGGGAAGAGGAGAGTGGGTTGTTAGTACAAGGGTGACATGGTGGAGATCGTGTGAAGAGGAGTTAAAATAGTATGGACTAACATGGATGCAGGTGAAAAGTACAGCAGAAGGAAGACAGAAGCAAATGGAGACGTGCATTTGAAGCCCTATGTTCCTCTAGGAACCTAAGGGAACAATAACAATTATATATATATAGCAACTTAATCATCGTTCCTCAGCAGTGAACTTCATCAACAAAATCAACACTAATATTAAGTATGATCCAAAATGTATTCTGAAAACATGAACCTCAACAACTATGATTTCATATAGATCAGAGATGTCAGACAATATCATCAGAAGAGTACTCAGTAAGCACGACATCAGAATTTTCTTAAAAACATCAGATGCACTGCAAAGCAACCTTGTCCATATAAAAGACCAAATCTCTAAAGATTCTGTATCTAATTGTGTCTATAAAATAAAATACTAGCTTGGAATGTGATGCAATATACATCAGACAAATATCGCCAGAGAGAAATCAAAATCAGAAGAAATGAACACCGTAGAGCATCTGTTCGACCACCAAGAAATCCATCTGAACAAGAAAACCTTGAAAAATTGTCATTCTTAGGTGGTGGTCTACACGCTATAGAATCAGGCCACAAAATTGATTTTGACAATATTGAAATAATCCAGGAGAAGCATTTCAGAAATCACACAGAACGTCTAATATCAGAAGCACTTTATATCAAGTGGAATCCAAATTGTCTGATGAATAGGAATGATGAACTAAAGCAGAATTTAGGCTGGTTGCAACACCCCCCTCCTCCATGAAATGACGAAATCAACACGAATGTGATATGTAATTTCATTATGCAAACCCACTCTGCTCTTATAATTTTGCACACTTATCAAATCCAATGATCTACGCTTGGTTTTGTTATCTTTACCAAATGGCCAATTTGACAACGCAAAACATCACCCCATGCTGAGGAACGATGATTAAGTTGTTATATATAAGCTGAGTGAATTTTGTAAATTCTGGTTTAATGATACTACTTTGATAAAGCTATTAGGGGCAACATGAAATAGCGAAACGTCAGTAAAAACGATAATATCGTTTTGTTTTTCATTCATTGGGGAAATACAAGAAAACCTTTAGTATAATGAGTCAGTTCTCTTATATTGGTTGGTTCAGTCAGTTAAATGTTTTAAAACTGAAACACTCTTGTTTATTTGGTTTAAATGAATAGATCTGAACAGCGCAATTTCAAGTTGTATCATCAAAACAAAGAAAATATTCTTCTTCTTGTTTACTTTGTGTTTTTCTTTCCTGTTTAACATGAATCTTTGTTTCTATGGAAAAAAACACACAGTCAGTGCGTAAAACAGGTCGTTGTGTAATAACGCATGAAGCTCCATTGACTTGCGGTTTTGGTGCTGAATTAGCTGCTTCTATACAGGTAATTCAATGATTAGTTAATTAATTAATTGTGTATTGTGATTTTATACTAATTTAAATTAAAACAATTAGTCCCTTTGATAAATTTGAATAAGGCATTAAGAAGACAGATTTCCCGAGATGATATCATTTCGTAGTTTCTTTACAACCGCTTTACAACTAACATGGTTAACAATAATAAAATAAAGTTCATGACAATTACTCAGTTAAATAATAAACAAAAGTACATACTAATGACCAATCATATTTAGATAGGTCATGTAGTCCAGGGTAGGAGAAGATTGAAGTCTATTGATTTTTGTACACACAGTTTAGGCTGTATGTGATTAATCCAAAGTGCTTCCATCACCTTCAATAACCTTGAATTAGAGTTATGTGAAATAATTGTGAAACAGTCATTAATATTGATTTTGTGACCAGACATTAATAAGTGTTTTGCAATGGATGATGCTGGATTTCTAGCCAGATTAATCGCGTTAGGATTTTCGATATGATTTACTAGCCATTTTGGAACATGTTCTTTTCGACGACATTCGAACATTCTGTTAGTTCTACCTATATAGGTGTCACAGCAGCTGCAGGTGAACTTGTAGATACAGTTTGAAGTAGAGTCCACAGAATTTCGTCCTTTAACCGTAGGTACAGGGATCGAAAATGTTCAGCAAGTGAGAAAAAGAGATGCGGCGTAGAATGTGCGTTTGATGGCTTACCGAAGTCTTTGAGCCGTCAACTGCATAATCTGGTCGCCCTTGAATGGTAGATTAATAAAGATAGCTTTCTTTGGTACAGAAGCTTTCTTTTCAAGATGTGGTCTATCCTTACCGTGACAATTAAAAAAAAAAGACTAATTTAAATATCAGAATTCTTTGTTAGTGCTTAAAAAGAGTTTGGGTTCGACTCCTGGTCTGTGTACTGTTAAAGCTTACTTGGTTTGCTAGCTGATTGTAAGCGCAGAAATGAAGGAAAGCTGCGCGTGAGACTAGTGACCCCCACCACTACTGAATCTTTAAAGTTTAAAGCCATAAGGTACACCCTTAACACAAAAGAATGAGACATAGTTATAAGGAGTAACTAGATTCAGTGGTTAACTTTTTTATGAGTTGGGCTAGTTAGATTTTCAAGATTTCGACTGGACTCAAGGTAGTTCCAAAACTATGAGGCGACATAGCGGTTAGGACTCTCGTCGACCATGCACATGATCCGGGGTTCGACCTTCTGCCGATATCAATAATTGGCCTGCAAATTTGGGCTACCGATATCACATCTTGAAAATTCCATATTTGTACGAAAAATTCGGTGTGTAATCAAGCTATACTTACAAAAAAAACTTTCATTGTACTGTCTGATTTAAAGTGCTTCTTCAATTGATTTCGGTCCATGTTAGTTTGATTTCTACTTTTTTCTATTATAATTATAGCCTGATTCCACAACGTATTTTTCATAAAAGTATGGAATTTTCGGAAAGTGATATCGGCAGCCCAAATTTTGCAGACCGACCGTTGATATTAGGTGTGCATTGGCAAAGGATTGAACCTAGGACCATGTGCATGGTCAGCGAGAGTCCGAACCACTAAGTCACTGATGCACATTAACGAGGGTTCATACTCTGTGTGTATAATAGGCTTGCTAGAATTGTTTAAAGGATCATATTGATAAACAGATCTTGGAATTGATGTATTAGCAAACAGTTAGATTTATTAAATTTCACATTTTTATGTCAAATAAGTGAAGTTTTAGAGAATATTTCACCTAAAGTTCAGTGGTAAATGTCACCTAACCATCGCCTCCCCCGACCACGGGCATTACTAGCTGATATAGGTACAGGTTGGAAAACAGCCAGTGGTGGCCAAACAAAAACATGGCCTCATCAATCCATGAAATCCTTGACAGTTAAACTGAGTCAGGTAGGGAGATGCAGACTTCCGGGTTGGGGCCCTCGGGACTCTAGGAATCAATGGCTGGAGACAATAGGTGACATGGCTCAAAATCGTTGTCAATGGCCAGCGCAGATGTATTCAGTCTCTGTAATCTTTCATATTCCTTTCTACCATTACCCATTCTGTTTCACTCTTATACTTGTCAGACTGTATTGATTCTCTTCACTCATCTTCTTGTCTACCTTTGTGTACTATTTGGAACGTGGCAATTCCAACTGCTGCACTTCGGTGCCAAGTTCTATGTCAAATCCAGACAGGCAGACAGGTAAATGTCACACTTGTATTGTGGGGTTGAAGTCCTGGGGATGCTAAGAATCAATGGCTTGAAACTACTGGTGATATAGCTCAAAAAAGTTGTCATTGTCGCAGATGTGTCAACTTTTTGTAATCTTCTCAATCATCCACTAACCTCTCATGTTATTCCATGTGATCATCCTCTCTCGCATAAATTTCCGCTTATTAGAGAGAGAGTTCTCTTGAGTTTTTTCTCTCTGTACTACATGGATTGTGACAGTGTGAACTGCTGTAATTCTGTGACTTTTATGTGATTACAAACTTTTATTTTACTAACGTTTGATTACGCTAGATACCATTGCCTCCAGCATCATAAATCTGTGTTTGAAGATTAACACTGGATCAGTTGTATTGCTCACTAAACATTTTTCCTGTTCTGTCATTTCTTACAGTACCAATAGATATTTTGAAGTGTTGAAAGCAAATTTCCCTTGCAAGTCTTTCGTCTTGTCAACTTTATCATTTCATATACATGCAGTTTTTCATAATTCCATTTCAAACAAAAGTGAATTGAAGTAAGATAGGTGAATTCGATCAGCGGTAAACCCTAGACCTAGATTTCTTGCTTGTTGGTTTGTTCTCTCTGGGATATGAGTGAACAGTGCTGGCAAGTCAACTAGTTTAGAATTTAGTCTGCATGAACAGTGAGGACTTAACGCGTGGTATTAGTGCTACCCCGTACTAAGAGAAACTGACTGCAGATTATTGGTGATCTGGCTCAAAACTGAGAATATATAAACGGAAGCGACCATGGAGCGATAACGCACCTGTGACCTTGAACGCCTACTATTCCTTGGGTGACGAACCTGGCGTGTATTCCACATCAAAACGTTGTTTATTTGCAAGAAAAATTAACATAATATTATTGATACACAACAGAAGATGATATTTTACCCCGAAGTAACTGAAAAAATACTTTCCAATTACAATGAAGGGTATCAGGTTTTAAGTTTTATAGCCACCAAAACAGTTTCATCAGTAAAAACAACCAAACACTCTCCTCTCATTTATCAGGATGATAGTGGCGTCATAATAACAGCAAGTTCTGTAATCCAACAAATGGTATGCGTTGACGGTCATTGGTGCGTTCCCACATCATGGTTGTTATTGTTTAGGTCAACCCAAAATTGTTCTCAGTGAAACAGATTTACTCACTTTTTGAGATCATACAGCCAGGTGAGGGCTTACAGCGAGTTGTCATCTGAACTGGTGACGACTAGTGGTGTCCGTCAAGGATGCCCATTATCTCCTTTTCTATTCAACTTCATCATGGATGTACTAATGGAATTAACCCTAAGTGACATCAGCGACTCAGGGATTGACTTGATACCAAGGAATAATCTCGTTGACTTGGAATATGCAGACGATATAGTCCTTCTAGGCGAAGACGCTGACGAAATGCAGAGTCTTCTAAACACCTTGAGCCGCAATCTACGAATGTTTGGCATGCGATTCGCTCCCGCCAAATGCAAGATGATGTTACAAGACTGGACTACAGCGACTCCTAGTTAAAAATCGGAAGTGAAATTGTAGAGCATGTTGACCGCCTCACTTATTTGGAAAGTACCATCACCCCGAACGGGTTGATCTCTGACGAAATCTCAGCACGAATACAGGGGGCTCGTTTCGCATTTGCCAGTTTACGCCGCCTCTGTCGTAGACGAGATATCCGGCCTACTATCGACCAAAGGGCGGGTGTACTGCTCATCAGTCCGCTCCGTCCTCCTTTATGGCTGTGAGCGAGACCTGGCCACTGAGAGTGGAAGACATGAAAAGACTAGCTGTCTCTGATCATAGGTGCCTGCGCTCTATTTCCCGTGTAAAGTGGCATAATATGTTGAGCAATATTGAGGTTAGGCGTCGAGTTCTAGGTAAGGAGGGGAAATCAATCGACGAAATTGTGAAGATACAAAGACTGAGATGGTTAGGACATGTGTTACGTATGCACGCCTAGTCATCGCCTTCCTCGACGAGCTATGTTAGCGGATATAAGGGCAGGCTGGAAAAAAGCTAGTGGCGGTCAAACAAAAACTTTGCACCAGTCAATGAAATCTACAACAGTTAGTCTTAGCCTCGGGACGGTAAAAACCAATGGTTGGAAACAATTGGTGACATGGCTCGAAATCGTTCTTAGTGGCGCAGATGCATCCACTCCTTTTGACCTATGATCTCCGTTGAAACTGTTTTGTTCTTCGTTATTACTCCTCCTTTGTCTCACACCTCTGCTTACTGTCTCTATTATGCTTTTCTTGTACTTTTTTCTCTGGCTTTGTGTGCTACAAGGAGGAAGTGTGGCGACTTGAACTGCCGCACATCGGTGCAAAGTTCTATGTCGAAAACAGACAGACAGACATATAGATTCAATAAATCTTCATTATTCTTTACCTGATCATTCTTCACCCAGAATATTTCTGTTTACTATAGTTTCTCAGTTACTAAGCTGTTTGTTCATTAGTAGAATGCTTAGCAGCCGTACAGGAGGCTAAGGTTTGATTTATCACCAAAGTACTACGAAACCTCATCTAACTCACTAAACAAAAGGTTGCATATAAGGCTATCAACACCTCATTTCTTCAAAACAACAAAGTCCATACTGAAATATCAGAGCTTGAAGCTCTTTACTCCACTTGAAAAGGATGGAGTAAATAATAAAATATTTCTTAAGAGTTGATTTGTCGGGATTTTGTTAGTTTTTCAATTTTTTAAAAGTACTCCCTGGCTTTCAATGGTTGTCTAACTGATATCCACTTTGTAGTCAAACCTGAAAAACAACCTGAGATTGAGTACATCGGTTGAATCAATCGACGGGAAAATCTAAAATTGAATTAAATTTAGTGTCTGGGTTTTAAGCACCTAGGAGAGTCTGTTTAGCAACAGTTTCACAAAAAACCACTGTTCATAAAACTGCAGTTCCTCGGTGACTGACAACATCAGCGAAATAATAACACAGCTAATATCAATCAGTAAAAAGTTTGAGCATTGTGGATTAGATCAAATAAAGTATAATTATATTTAATAACACAGCACCTGAATAATGTAGTTAAAAGAGCTTATTATGCAGCAGAGGTACGTTGTAGCTTCACAACATCCCCTATTCTACGGTCGAGAAATAAGGATAAACTACCTAAATTTGCCTCTTCTATGTGTATCTACCAGTTTGACTGCAGCTGCGGAACCAGCTACATCGGGCGTACAATTAGGCAGCTTCATCATCGTATTTCTCAACATCATCCAGCATGTTTAAGCAAGAGACAAACAAGATCTATTTGTAGCTCTATTTGAGCACACCATGTAGATAGTGAGCATAAGGTTGATGTTAATACAGCATTTAAATTATTTATCGCATTCCTACTAATGTTAATTTTGCTCTACGAGTTCGTCTTCTACATATATCCGAAGCAACAGGAATCCACCTGAAGGAGCCAGACCCCTGTGTTCAGAAGAAATCTGTACAGCCACTTTCCTTACTGTGGCCATAGTTACATGAATGTATAAACCGGACTACTTCGTCTCCGTTCCCCTAAACCTTTAAAATTATAAAACTTATAAAAATTATAATTGTCCGACTTATTTAATTTTTTCTGACCACTTCATCTTTAATTTACGTTTTATCCTTGTAAAATTAATTTATTCTAACCAAATCTACCTTTTAAATGTGTGTATTGATTTCCTTCGTTAATTATCAACCCAGTGACATTTTGACACTGACTAATTATTATTAACAAACATATCAGTGCCCCTTTATTAGTAAACTGTTGCGTGCATTGTAATAATAAAAATGCCAGAGTGAGATGAGGATCTAATTGAAAAGTAAATATTTCATCGCTCGCTCAGTCTTTCTGTTTTATAAGCACTTCACAAGATACTGACAAAATACAATAAATGCATTTTATCTGTCTCCATATTTTCACTATTACTTTGTTCGAATTAATTTGAAAGAAATTTGTGTATGAAATCGTGTTATTGCACTGGTTCTTTCCTTATATTCTTATTCTCCCTTAGGATAATTGTTTCCTGTATCTAGAAGCACCAGTACAACGTATCACCGGCATGGATACACCATTCCCTCACATCTTTGAACAATTCTACATACCAGACAAGTTACGATGTCTAGAAGCTGTAAAAAAAGTTATTCATTACTAGAAATTTATGCGATAAAATGAATTGAAAAAAACAACAACTGTATCACTGACTACTTACAATTTATTGAGTACTATGCTTAAACAGATGAAATAAAGAATATTTCATTTATGATTATCTTAATTAATTGAATATTTTTGTTATTATTGAATTTTTTCCTTTGCATTCCAAGTGAAACATAGGGCTTCAGGCTTGAGTCTTGAAGTTTCAATAGCACCGGTGTTATCTTTGAGAGGGTGGGGTTACTGGCCTTAAGTCCAGCACTTCCTCCATCTCAGGCTTACAGCTGGCTACGGGATGTAAAGTGGTGAGTCGACGTGGGGAATTGAACCCTAGAACAAATGCATAGTCGACGAGCATCCTGCCACTGAGCCATCGACTAAAAAGAAAAATTTTAATTTGGGGTTCTCCATGGACGTGTCTATATACACATTTCCACAGGTTTGTCCCTCTCATTCAGCTATGGTGTTAGATATATTTGTTAAGAAGATTGAAATTGAAGATGAACTTAAAGTCGTATACAACACTTCAATTGAAAACAGCTACCCTGAATACTTCATCACTAAACACATAACAAGTAAAGTAGAAGAGAATCCTTCTATATCTGATAACAAGAAGCCTCTACACACATACAACTACTACTCAAAGCTGAAGTACACTGTGAAATAACAAAAAACAACAAGGTGAGAAAGTCAATTCGTAGGACGTTTATTGCCGTAAAGCTGCAGTCCATTCTTTCCACATCATCGGCTATGATTCCTCAACTGAAAGATGAAGTATCTAGGCTAGCTGGCAACCTCTAATTGTATCTATCAGTTCAAATACAGCACCTGTGTAGCAAGTTTATTGGCTGTTCCTCTAGGAACCTAATTTCTCATTCTCGGGAACACCTATCAGTGTGGATAAATAAAAGTGTTATCAAAACTGTTAACAGTTCTATATTGGACCTCTTCGTTCAAGCAGGCCATAAATCTAATATTGAAGATTTTATCTCTGTCATCCATCGGGTATCGAATAAATAACCAGAGACGCTTAGACACGCGAACACATGAAACAGCAGGGGTCATTGAAATTTGCCTAAATCAGCCGGGTCTCTGGGAGCAACAGAAGCACGTCCAGCTACTGTTGTTACCCTGGCCTGCTATTGAAGCTATAAGTTTATAAATTCTGTGTTACTTCCCCAAATTTATCTGATATTAAGTTTAGTATTATATTTACTCTTATTATCTAGCTTTCCCAAGCAAAATACTAAACCATATAATCCTGAAGAGAATAAAATACGCCCTGGATGATAGACTTCGATCAGAACAGGCTGGATTCAGGAGGAACAAGTCATGCATCAATCAAATCGCAAGACTACGGATCATCACTGAACAGAGCTTGGAATTCCCAGTATCATCGTATTATAAGGATAGGCTAGAAACGATCAAACACTCCTTGTGATCTCTGCATGACGTCGATTAATTTAGTGTACCACCATCAAAAACTTATTTTTATTGATAGTGACTAGCAGTGGAGTCCAGGATGTGAACTTTTCTTCATATTTTTTTGGCTCGTCAGCTGTATATACCTGCATTCTTAGGAACTGGTGGTATTGCAGCTGAGACTTGGATCATGCACTCACTGTTTCATACTCTAAAGCATCATTCACTGGGCCACGTGGACCACGACAACCATCACTTGTGCAATAGGTATCAGTTATTGATTAGCTATTTTTAGCCTCATTGATTATGTTAGGCAAAACTGCTCAACCTCTGTTGAAACGAAGGGTGCAGTATTCGAATCTCCGTGGGAATACTATCACTCATTAGGAATGAAGGCATATATGGCTGTGAATCTGTAAATAGGACAAAATGTGCATCCCAGATGTCGCTGCTAGTTACCACTAGCCAAAATAACTTCTCTGCTAATCTGAAGACGTCAACAAAGCGTCCATACAAGCAGCCGACCTGTCAACAAAGACTAAGAAATTGTCAATAATATAATTTTGATTTGTTTATTTATTTCTGACACATCAAGATGAAAAGTGAACAGCACTAGGACAATATACACAAAATCTCAACAAGGACAAATTTATCACAGAATTAATTAATTAATTAATTAATATTGATAACACAATGGTAACGATCATACTGAAAGTCATATATACGTTAACACATTTCACAACAGTAATGGCAAAATAAAATATACGCAGAACAGTAGAGGGTACACATAGACTCTGCTTCAGTAACAACAGTCTTCTTCTAAACTTTTGAATAGATAAACAATTTATGAAGAATAATATATCACAAAGAAGGGGAGAATTTTCTTCAAATGCGACAGAAACAAAACAACACACACACACACAAGCACGCACACATACATACACACACACATAGAAATCACATGATACCTTATGAGTAGTATACATACACTTTAGAGCAGAAAGAAGAATCAACTATGGATGGGTTTGTTAACTAATGGAATAACAAGATTTATGTACGATGTTTTAAGCTGACTAGTTGAATGAGAACAATCCAAGTATTCGAGGGCAAACAGAGTAAACCACACACACAGAGTTAAATTTGCAACTCGTATATACAATGAAGCCATGTATGACTGCTTCCATGCCTGAATTAAAGATAACATTGAATGAACATGTGAGCGGCAGAAGAATAAGACGATGACGAAGCTTTCAACAGATAACCGAACCTCTACAACACATGCTGCCTATCGACAAATATTTAACCACTATCAAAATAAGACAATACGATTGACACCTTTAACTATACCTTGAAATATCAATAAAGTCTTATTATTATATTGGTGTATAATTATACACTATTGGTAGACTTTCTTGTACTTCATGCAAAGATGTTGTTGTAGGGCATAGATAATAGCTTTGATCTGTTGGAGAATAAAAGATAAGTGGTTCACAATAAGTTAACATATTATCTCTTGATTGTATCATTTGAGTATCATTACTACTATTACCATTATCAGTAGTAACATTAGTAGTAGTAGTGGTGTCTGTTGGGAATTTTGAATAAATCATTGATGGATAAGTGCATGGTACACCGACATAATGTCTCATATCATTATGATTAAGAAGACATCTCTCGTGTGTCTTGGTGTCTTGTGGTAATATAATTTTTGCATGATAATGTGGAAGACTGTTGGGTGGGATATGAGCTGAATTGTTATTATCAGTCTGGTTATTATAAGTGGTAGTATCATAAGGAAGTGAATAGTAGGCTTGATTTTTAATCATAGATGGTGTAAGGAGATAATCATTAGTAGGGAAATAAGTGACCATTTGAGGGTAGTAATACATATCGCCATTATTGACTGGATGATGATGTGGAGGCGGAGGAGGAGGAGGAGGGGGCAGATGAATTAAATGCTGGTGTGGATAATGGTGACAACAATGATGACGATTATGTTGTGAATGATAATTCAGAAGATGGTGATAGTGGTAATGATGATGATAAGGGGGATAGCGATGAAATAATGGATAGTGAAGATGACATGTACACTCTGATGATGAATTCTTTGATAGACTGTCAATTGACGCAGAATGGCTTCCATTGTCATCGTCATCATCATCATCATCACCATCGACACCATCAACGCCATCATCGCCACCATCATTAGTGCCATCATTATCGTCTTTATTACCATTATCTACCAGGCCAGTTTCACTTGGATCTTCATCATCTTTATGAGTGTTATTCATCTGATCTGTCTGTTTATCACTTTCTTCACCATTATTAGCACCATCATTGTTGTCTTTGTCATGTTCTTCTTCTTGAACTTTTTTAAGTTTCACTTTTAATACAGTTGTTGTCTTTGAAGTTGATGTGATTTGCTTGTCAGATGTTATAGTTGTAAACTTTTCATCAGAATTGGCTAATTCCGATTTATCAGCAACTTGATACATATGTCTAGGAAAGTAGTTAGTACCATAAAACACCTTGAAAATTGAACAAATAAAACAAACAAACAAACAAACAGGTGTTAAGTTAATTCAATTCAAAAAATCAGTTAACCACGCATCAGTTTATTTGTATGAAATCAGTATTAGCAGTTAAATAGCAACAATCGATTACAATGATATATTGAAATGGAAGATACCGTCCAAGGTTAAGTTAGCGCGACTGGCACCGAGTAGTGTCATTCGTGGAGTATTTGTCTTCACTGCTAACTGGATGTACCACATTGGTCATGACTTCTCACTAAAAGAACTCAAGGTAACTTCGTTCTGTAGCCAGTCACTAGCAAGCAGTATATTAACTTTCAAGAGTTTGTGTGTAGGGATTTGGTCTCAGTGGGTTCATGCTGCCAACGAGCCTCAAACTGGGACTAAATAGCTATCCAGTACTCTCTGGTTTTCAATGGTTCTCTATATGATATCAGTCAGTCACCCGAAGAGACAATTTATAGCTTCAATTTAGAAGTGTGCACTGAGGATGTTGTCTAGTAAGAAATTGGGGAAGCTTCGCAACTGAACTATTTAGATGACATATATATCCTGATTGATAAATACAAATTGCCTAATTATATATAGATATTACATGGTACACTACATACTACTGATTCATTCATTTGAGTAGTTGGGCAGAACTCATATCTACCTGTAGTGTTTACTGGCCAACCAGGTTGAAATGATTTAAACACTTGGTCGCTGTTTCGTTTCTATGGGGTCAAGCTGACATTAGCAGTGTGTGTGCTTGGATCAGTTCAAACAACTTGAATTCTAGTTCGATACCTGGGTGAAACGGTCATGCACTGTAAATCGAATTCTCAATTTTGCTGATTAATTCACGATTTTTCTACAGTTCGAAGAGGTGAAGCTTCACTAGAGGTTACTGCAGAAAACCAAAATTATTCAGATCATACCATGTGGTAGTCTGTTTAATACAATAAATGACGGTATAAAGTGATGAGTTTACGCTTGATTTCTTAATTTCTATTCATGGTATCAAGTTGATCTCATAATTATAATCTGAATCATTTCAGCTTCCATAAAAATCGAAATCTCAGTAATCAATCATCTCCTTTAGGGTTTTAAAAAGTTCCAATAAATTCCAAATCTCGATTTGTAATATAATTCCTGTTTCAGGAAATGCGAAATTCTTTCTTCATCGTTATCATTTTTACCTTTCCATTTAAACATATATATGCCCACACTGATCAGGCAGAATAACATTAGGCTGAAGATCTTATCAGCATTCTGAAGATGTGTGAAATTCGAACCAACAAACTATTTATTATGTACAACTAAAGACTGACTGAATAGTCTGTCGGTCAGAATTCAAATTGTAAAAATATTGATTGCTTATAGATTAATCATACTGAAAACTCAATCAGACTTCAACGTGTTAATAGCCACTCACTAAGTGGTCCAAGTAAGTCGGTGGCACAGCAGTTAGGACCATGCACACTGTCTGGGGTTCGATACCCGGCTGACGACGCACTCCTTTTCCTCGCTAAGCCGGAAGTAATGCTGGTGAAGAGGAAAGGTTGGGCATGAGGTTGCTAGTAACCCTATCCTGTAAAAACATACACTGCTACAGAAACTTCAACCCTCTAACTGGAAGCCCTATGTTCCACTGGGGAACGTAAAGGAAAAATTATTTTATTATTAAGTTGCCCAATACTGTAATGCATAACTAGTCTGTGCTACTTTTTTGTATGACTGTTGTAATTATACATATCTGATTGAATTACTTCCGATTCACCCATTTGGAAATACACATCTGGAATATTAGTTTGTATGTCTTCTTGAAATTGGAGGTTTGGGTTAGGGAATTGGAAAGGCAAGGAAAACCTTCATCACTCTGAAGTCAGTTTGGAAATCTGACGCATTAAACATAAAAAGAAAGATTCAATGAGATTTCACTGGATGAGAATCTTAGCGCTCCCATCACGAAAACAAACTCCACAAACCACCTCAAAATTCTATGAACAGCTGCCTTCGTTGGTCTCACACTGAAGATCAGAGAGCTGGTTAGATAGAATTAGTGACGAATAGGCCAACAACGCATTGCTCAAAAAATATTTTAGAGAATATGGGGATGAATTGGACACACACCGAGGAGAGCGTTGAATGACATCGCCTACCATACCAGTGCTTGAGCGGGATTTCAGTGGTGAATGACGAGTTGGGTTTGAGTCCAGTTTTGACATAGAAGAGGTATTATGAGTGGGAGATTACAGTATATAGGAAGTCGTTGGATCAGGTGAATTGAATTGTAGAGATCAAGAATAAATGCAGATATACTGTTGATGTCATATGTTACACTAAGAATCCAAGGAAATAATATCACCATGAAAACTTAACTAAAAGAATACTTTAGCTACTAAAAGTGGTTATCAGTAGTACAGTTAGAATTGAAAAGAAATCTATCGAACCCTCATGATAATAACTATAGTCTTACATCAAAATTAACTAATAAACAACTCTATTATCAAAAAAGAAGATTTGCGTGTATAGAAGCAGTGAAGACTAATAATAACAACAACAAGAAGGGAGAACTCGCCTTGTCAAGTGCCCAATCGTTTGATGAAAATTCTTGTAAATGTACGATTGATTGTTTACTGTCTTGCTTTTGTTGGTTTTGTTGTTGATGCAGGCGTTGTTGCTGTTGTTGTTCCACTTCTTCTTCTTCTTCTTCAATGACATCTCGTAAAAACATCTGGATTAAGCATAAAGTTTGTCGTCTTTCATGTGTCATCAAACATATAGTAGAATTTGAGACAACTTCATATAAAATCTAAAAATTAACAATGCAATAGAATAAATTTGAGGGTTAGTTAATTATGGAAAATAAATGCCTGATGTATATATGAAGTAATTACAGTAAAAATAATAACAACACCTTTTATAGCAGACAAAATATCTTAATACACACTACACAATTTTCAGCGTATCTATCTACTCTTTTTATAAGACCTTCAGGTAAAATGGTTTTCATCCTAGTTTGGGACTCCTCAGCAGTACGCACCCACCGGGATTCGAACCCAGGACCTTCTGGTTACAAGGCGAGCTCGTAGACCATTGAGCCACTGGGACCCGATACAATGGTCCTTGAATTCTAACTTCTGCCAGTTCACGACATAGCGCGACCACTTCGCAATGTCTTCTTCGATGAGTTACTGCCTCATCTTCGACCTGCTTTACCCTACTGGTCACGGCTTCCCACTAGAACCCCAAGTTAACTGCCTGAATACGGCCAGTCACTAGTGAGAATCAGATGAATTTTCAAGTATTGGTTTATTGTAGGGATTTTGTTTGATTGCATGGAGGATTTAATCATGAGCTGACATCAGTTAGAGAACCACTGGAAAACCTGGGAGTACTGGACAGCCGTTTCGTCCTAGTTTGGGACTCCTCAGCAGTACGCACCCACCGGGATTCGAACCCAGGACCTTCTGGTTACAAGGCGAGCTCGTAGGCCAGGTATTCAGCAGTCTATCGTGTGATGCTGTGTTGTTCCATCCGAAACTACATCAAATTCTTCAGGATATATTTTCCTCGTTTCCCCGTTAAAAGTGCTTTGCGTTATAACAGAGTAAAGATGTGTGTAAGTTCATCTAACAATAAAAAAAATACAATTAGATTGTGAACATATTATAAACTAAGCGAATATTAAATCACTGCAGCTGTTTCGTTCTGGTTTGGGAATCAATCACTGCACACACCCGACATCTTGCACTTACAAGGCAAGCTCGTGGACTATTCACACACTGGGAGCCTACTCAATAACCATTCCATGAAGTCTCATTTCTAATGGTTCGTGATTTTAGCGCAACTAGCACCGACTATTGTCATCCATGAGTATTTGTCCTCACTACCAACTGGATGTACTACACTGGTCACAACTTCTCACTGAAAGAACTCCAGACAACTTTGTTCTGTTATCAGTCAGTAGCGAGCACCAGATTAACTTTCAAGAGTTTGTGTGTAAGCATTTGATCTCAGTGGGTCGATACTACCAGATGAGACCGAAACTAGGAGGAATTAGCTTTCCAATACCTTCTGATAGTTTTCAATGATTCCCTTTAAATGATATCAATCTGTGGTCACACTTGGAAAACAAATCAAATCCCTACAAGGAAAACTCTTGAATAGTAAATATTATACAAGTAGTTGCGTTGAGAACTATTTGTTGTCTGTAAACATAATTTTCAAAGCGAAGTTAAATAGCATCATTTTACACTCAGTGACTAATCAGTTGAACATGAAAAGCTAGTCAGAACTGATACAAATTATCATTTTGTTCTTGGTAAAGTTTAAGCTTCCAGTTAAGTATGAAATCTAAGGAGTAAATTTTCTATAGAAATGTATCTCCGCATTCAGATAGGATTCTGATGACTATCAGCTAAGCTATCTCACGATTTTTATGGCTTTAGTCAATTGGAGGACGACTGTAGTATCTACTTTTCTTTTTATTTCGGATTGATAATGGTGGCAGAATAGCTATAAATCAATAGATGATGGCTTTATTTGGTTTTCAAAGTACTGCTTGTGAAAACCTTCGACCAAATGCAAAAATGATATAATGAGGCACATTGTGATGATGTGGGTTAGTTATGATCAAGCCATCAAGTTGAAGTCAATTTTATTATTATTATTATATACTATCACTGTTTCTTTTAATTCCTAGAGGAACATGGGACTTCAGCCGCACGTCTCCATTACACTTGGTTCTCTGTCAATGTTTTCACCTGACTCCACGTCTGCTCACACGCCTTCACCTCCTCCATGTCACCCTTGCACTGACGACCTACTTGCCGCTTCCCATTCGGGTTCCACTCGGGCGATGGCCTGGCGTGTGTTGTCACTAATTTGAAGGTTTGTTTTCTCAGAGTATGGCCAATCCAGTCCATCTCCAATTCTTCCCACATATTTGTTGCATAATCGATTCCTGCTGGGTTGGTTCGCTTCCAGAAATCCCACCATGTTGCTGATCTTTTCTGGACAACTGCTGATGAAGGTCTGTAGTTTTTTTGAGGTGCCCTTTATGACGCGTCAAGTCTGTGATCCGTACAGTAGCATTGACTTCATGTTGGGGTTCAAAATTCGGATCTTATTTTTCATGCTGAGTGTTGTTAATCTCCACACAGACTTTAGGGAAATGAAAGTTTGCCTTACTTTCCCAATTGTCGCTTAGATATCCTCATCAGCTTCTTCAGCATGTAGGCGAAACGATGCTTCCCGGCTAGTTAGGTGAAGGAGGTTACTTCGTTCAGATTTCTCCCATTTATGATGATCGTTGTCTGTTCTTGTTGCTGTTGGCCATGAAACTTCATCACCTGTGTGTTTCAGTGGGATTATAATACCTCATGGTTTCATACCCCCTTATAAACTGAACATCTGACTGCATACTTAGATGTGTTCGTCATGTAGTTTAATATAAAACAAAGTGGATACGTCTTCTTTATAGCGTCATGCAGTCAGAAGTTTACAGGTATAGAGAAGATAAGTAAACATACGTGTTTTTATAATTTGATAGACAGAATATAGTCTGAGAAAATTAAAACAATTAGTCCCTCTGATAAATTTGAATTAGATATTTAGATGACAAATTTCGCGAAGTAATATCGTCATTTCGTAGTTTCTTTACAATCAATCGCTTTACAACTAGCCTGGCTCACAATCACATAATCAAATAAAATACATGACAGTTACTCAGTTATATAAAACAAAGATACATAATCCAGTCAGCCATCAAACGCACATTCTACGCCGTATCTCTTTCCCTCACATCTCGAATATTTTGGATCCCTGTACCTACGATTAAAGGACGAAATTCTGTGGGTGACTGACTACTGAATAGTGGTTCATCGAATAATCGATACTCAACACATGCAATAGGAATGACACAATGCAAATACCAGAGGTATATGGAAGATATTATAGCCACAAGTCGAATCACAGGAAGATAATAAATGATCTCAAAATTCTATTTCAATTCAAACACATCATCATAACATTCTAACAAGTTATTTATTCATTTTACTCTAAAAACATCTTTGGCATCATATTTTATTTGATTGATTGTGCGTCAGTGGCACAGTGGTTAGGATTCTCGACGACCATGCATATGGTCCGGGGTTCGAGCCCACACCGGCGCACACCAGATATCTATGGTCGGCCTGTGAAATTTGGGCTACCGATATCCATGCTGAAAATTCCATACTTGTACCAAAAATACAGTGTGGAATCAAGCTGTTACCAAAAATAAAAAAATAAAATAAAAATAATGCTACTTCCGAAAATACTTCATCTTATATTGATTTTTATTAAAATGTCTAATCATCAATTTCACTCATGTATATAAATGAAAGAAAAAAAGTTGTGTGAGTGACTGACTTGATATGATTATGAGCGGCAATAGTTTGTGCTCGAAACGTGGTCGCATCAGTTAATATTACTGTGTAACACTGTGTGATTTATCAAAATAAAATCTTATCTACCACAGTGCCCAAGTTTTATACTTATATTGTAACAACAGAAGACAAGGGCCAGACAACAGATCGTTTTATTACGAAAATCAACATGTATTTATATATATTTCACATACATTATTATAGCCTAGTCAAGAACACAAACGCAGTCTTCCGATTGGTTGTTTTTTCAAGTTCCTCGGAAAGTGGAGCCTTCTATCAGCGAATCATATTTACCCACGTTTAAGTTTGCTGTGATTGGTTGTTGAAACAGCCTTGTTCATATTTTCTCACGGCCCATATTAGTGACCTAGACATTGACGTAGATTAATGTCAACCAATTGGCTAGCAGGCTGCTTTCACCACAATATCAATTGGTCAAGTTAAACTTTAAGCACCAGTTAGTACTAATGGAATGTGACTGCACCAGTGACTTTAATACGCTCACTGATGAACAAGTTAGTGAAACCTGATAAATAATATTGTAGGCAAGAATAAAATATGCTGAGTGAAGTGTTATGTTGTTAAATGAGATATCTGGTAAGTTTCAGGTTAACTTTGAGGGAGATTAAGGTTTAGGCTAGGGAGATGTTACGGTTAGATCAATCTGATAAGGATAGCATTAGAGCTGGTTTGAGATCAATTAGGGTTAGTTTAGGGGTATTTTCATGTCAAGGTTAGATTAAAGAAAGATTAGGGTTATTATTAAGGTTAGAAGACCTAGACAGTTACATGAACACAATGTGATTAAATTACTGTGTTGATACTCTAATCCACAATTGAGAAGCGATTTTGTCACACTTCAAGATAAGGTATCATGATTACATGTATTTTAAAAGTAAAAGTCGGCTTTATCATGGAGTTGGCGCGTTCCAGGTCATTTGTTCGTTGGTAGTTACTGATCTGCCAGGCTGTGTGAATCAAACTCAATAAACTACCAGATTCAGTTGATAACCATGTATTATTCTCACTTCAACAGATGAAGTTTATGACCTCTTGACATTTAGATAACCGATACGTAGTCGTTAATTGGCAAGAGTAAATAATAATAATAAAAATAGTCATCAAGCCAAGTTTTTCCATCTCAGTTCAGATATATCCATAAATTCGAGTAAAATAACAATAATAAATCGAATTTTCGAGAGATTTTGGTGACAGTTTTATTGAACAGTGCATTAAAGTCCCAAAGATAATAAACCTAATTTCAGATAAACTTATAAATCTTTTCAATAGATTTCGATAAAACAGACGTAGACGAACTATACGTGTATTTATGAAACTAACATTTCTAACTTGTAGTATTGCATTCATCACAACAGATAAA